GCTGGGGTGATGGCCGAGGGCTGTGATGTTCCGCGTGTGGGCACTCAGGGCACTCCAAGCCAGGACTGCTTTGCAAGCGGGGAACCCTGAGAACTGTCTGTCCGGGGTGGGGGTCGGGACCCTTTAAGCACAGCCCTCGGCTAGCCTGAGGCAGCAGCTCCACGCTCTAAGTCCTCATCTGATGCCCTGCCGGCACTGCTTCCGGCCATCCTTAACCTCGGTTCAGGGTCCACTCTGTGTGGACATGCTAGTTTGAATTAGCAAAACGCTAATTCGAACTAATTTTTAAGTCTAGCTGCGCTAATTCGAATTAGCTTTGTTTGAATTAACTAATTTGAACTAAGTTAGTTCGAATTAGCACTGTAGTGTAGACATACCCCCTGGGCTTATCTACATGGGAAATAAGCCCATAATAGCCATTGTAGAATAATTATTTCACAATAACTATTCTGCATTAGCTCCCCTTTTCAACTATTCCAAACTATCTAGTTCGTGTCGTGTGTAGCTGCGGGCACGGAGTCCGCACTAGCGGACATTTAAAAATGGCGGCGCCCAGCAACATGCAAATGAAGCCCGGGAAATTCAAATCCCGGGCTTCATTTGCAAGTTCGTATGACTACATTAACCACCCTAGTTCGAACTAGGGTGGTAGTGTAGACATACCCTAAAAATGTATTATGGGAGTGTAACATCAAAGCCAATTACATCAGGGTGGACGTGGTTAAGAAAATAAGAATACGTAACGGGGACAAGTACTTATTGTAATGAGAAGGCCATTCCCAGTCTCTATTAGACCCAATGGCAGATTAGCACCATTTTACCATCTGTGGAGCCTCATAATGACAGACAAAAGGGTTCTGGACATGACAAAGTTTGGGTACTGCATCCCCTTCCTATTTCCTCCCAAAACCCAACCACCTGCCACATCCCTCTTCAGGGACTCATCTCACAAGACTATTTTATGTCAAGAGATCGACCACTTGCTCCATATTAATGCAGTGGAAAGGGTACTACAGCAATATTAAAACTTGGGCTTCTACTCCCAATATTTTCCCACAGAGAAGAAGTCAAGGGGCTGGAGACCCATTCTCAATCTCACAGCTCTCAAAAGATATGTCCTGTACCAACACTTCAAGATGGTTATCCTCTCCACCATCCTACTCTCCCTCAAGAAAGACGACCGGCTGGCGACTCTTGACCTCCAAGATGCGTACTTCCGTGTGTCCATACACCCTGCACATAGGTGGTATATAAGATTCACAGCAGGGGGACAACATTTGCAGAATACAGTACTAACTTTTGGCCTATCCATAGTGCCAAGGGTTTTTTTCATAGAATCATAGAATAATAGAACCATAGAGCTGGAAGAGACCTCAGAAGGTCATCAAGTCCAGCTCCCTGTTGTAGGCAGGACCAATCCCAACTAAATCAACCCGGCCAGGGCTCTGTCAAGCCGAGACTTAAACACCTCTAGGGATGGAGACTTCACTACTTCCCTAGGTAACCCATTCCAGTGCTTCACTACCCTCCTAGTGAAATAGTTTTTCCTAATATCCAACCTGGACCTCTCCCACCACAACTTGAGACCATTGCTCCTTGTTCTGCCATCTGTCACTACTGAGAACAGCCTCTCTCCATCATCTTTGGAACCTCCCTTCAGGAAGTTGAAGGCTGCTATCAAATCCCCCCTCACTCTTCGCTTCTGCAGACAAAACAGACCCAACTCCCTCAGCCTCTCCTCATAATTCATATGCTCCAGCCCCCTAATCATTTTGGTTGCCCTCCGCTGGACCCTCTCCAATATGTCCACATCCTTTTTATAGTGGGGGGCCCAGAACTGGACACAGTACTCCAGATGTGGCCTCACCAAAGCTGAATAAAGGGGAGTAATGACATCTCTGGATCTGCTGGCAATGCTCTTCTTAATGTAACCTAATATGCCATTAGCCTTCTTGGCTACAAGGGTACACTGTTGACTCATATCCAGCTTCTCATCCACTGTAACCCCCAGGTCCTTTTCTGCAGAACTACTACTTAACGGATTGATCCCCAGCTTGTAACTATGCTTGGGATTCTTCCGTCCCAAGTGCAGGACTCTGCACTTGTCCTTGTTGAACTTCATCAGCTTTCTTGTGGCCCAATCCTCCAATTTGTCTAAGTCACTCTGGAACCTATCTCTGCCCTCAAGCGTATCTACCTCTCCCCTAGCTTAGTGTCCTCTGCAAACTTGCTGAGGGTGCAATCCATCCCCTCATCGAGGTCATTAATAAAGATATTGAACAAAACCGGTCCTAGAACCGAATCTTGGGGCACTCCACTAGAAACCAACCGCCATCCTGACATCGTGCCGTTGATAACTACCCGCTGGGCCTGGCCTTCTATCCAGCTTTCTATCCATCTTACTGTCCATTTATCCAATCCACATTCCCTTAACTTGCTGGCAAGAATATTGTGGGAGACCGTATCAAAAGCCTTGCTAAAGTCAAGGTATATCACATCCACTGACTTTCCCATGTCCACAGAGCCAGTTACCTCATCATAGAAGCTAATCAGATTGGTCAGGCACGACTTGCCCTTTGTGAATCCATGCTGACTAATCACTTTCCTCTCATCCAAGTGCCTCAGAATGGATTCCTTAAGGATCCCTTCCATGATTTTTCCAGGAACCGAGGTAAGACTGACTGGCCTATAGTTCCCTGGATCGTCCTTCTTCCCTTTTTTGAAGATTGGCACTACATTTGCCTTTTTCCAATCATCCGGGATTTCTCCCAATCTCCATGACTTTTCAAAGTCCTCTCTCAATGACATTTGCCTCCTCAATGACATTTGCCAACTCCCTCAGTATCCTCAGATGCATTAAGTCCGGACCCATGCATTTGTGTACGTTTAGCTTTTCTAAATAGTTCCTAGCCTGTTCTTTACCCACCACGGGCTGTCCATCTTCATCCCATCTTGTGTCACTTAGCGCAGAAGTCCAGGAGCCGACCTTGTCTGTAAATACAAAGGCAAAGAAAGCATTGAGTACTTCAGATTTCCCCACATCATCTGTCACTAGGTTATCTTCTTCATCCAGTAGGGGCCGCACACCCTCTCTGATCACCTTCTTCTTGTTAACATGCTTGTAGAAACCTTTCTTGTTATCCTTCACATCCTTAGCCAGTCACAATTCCATTTGTGCTTTTGCCTTCCTGATAACCCCCCGGCATTCTCGAGCTATACATTTAAACCCCTCCCTGGTCATTTGTCCAAGTTTCCACTTTTTGTAAGCTTCCTTTTTGTGCTTAAGTTCTCCAAGGATTTCCCCTGTAAGCCAATCCAGTCTCCTACCATGTTTGCCTCTCTTGCTATGCGTCGGGATGGTTTCTTTCTGTGCCTTCAATAAAGCTTCTTCAAAATACTGCCAGCTGTCCTGGACTCCTTTCCCCTTCATGTTAGCATCCCATTGGATTCTGCCCATCAGATCTCAGAGGGAGTCAAAATCTGCTTTTTTGAAGTCCAAGGTGTGTATTTTCCTACTCTCTTTCCTTCCTTTGGTCAGGATCCTGAAATCTACCATCTCATGATCACTGCTTCCCAGGTTGTCACCCACCTCCACTTCCCCTATTAGTTTCTCCCTGTTGGTGAGCAGAAGGTTAAGCTGCGCCCTGCCCCTGGTCAGATCCTTCAGCACTCGTGTCCAGAAGTTATCCCCAACATTCTCCAAAAACTTCCTGGATTGCCTGTGTACTGCCATATTGGTTTCCCAACAGATGTCAGGGTGATTAAAGTCTCCCATGAGAACCAGGGCCTGCGATCTGGAAGCTTTGCTCAGTTGTCTAAAGAAAGCCTCATCTTCCTCATCCACCTGATTTGGTGGCCTTTAGCAGACACCAACCACAACATCACTGCTGTTTGCTCCTTAAACTTAACCCATAGAATCTCAACAGGTTTTCTCCCTCTTTATACTGGAGTTCAGAGCAATCGTAGTGCTCTCTTACATATAGTGCAACTCCTCCTCTTTTCTCCCCTGCCTGTTCTTCCTGAACAGTCTATACCCTTCCATGGCAGCACTCCAGCCATGCGAGTCATCCCACCAAGTCTCGGTTATCCAATTAAATCATATTTCTTGGACTGTGCCAGGGCCTCCAGTTCTTCCTGTTTGTTGCCCAGGCTTCTCGCATTAGTGTACAAACACCTCAGGTAACCAGTTGATCGCCCTCTCTTCTCCATTTGAAACAGGGGTCCCCCTTTCTTGCTCGTTCCTATCTTCATTTTTTCCCGGTATCCGACTTTCCCACTCCCCTCAGGGTTTTGGTCACCATCCCCCGATGAACCTAGTTTAAAGCCCTCCTCACTAGGTTTGCAAGCCTGCCCGCGAAGATGCTCCTTCCTCTCTTTGTTAGGTGGATCCCATCTCTTCCTAACAATCCTTGTGCCCGGAACAGAGTCCCATCATCGAAGAAACCAAAGCCCTCTCTGCGACACCACCTGTGCAACCATGCATTTACATCCTCAATTCGACGATCCCTGTCAGTTGTCAGTTGTGGCCAAGACTGGCTGAGACAAATGTGGTATATCTACCTACTGCAAATGTCAGCTGATCACCCACGGCTCCCACATCTCCTCACTCAATGTCGTGGTTGCCTTCAACATCCTCATGTCCACACCCTGAACTTTCAGGCTTGGCTCCTCAATGGCTCACTTCACTAGAAGGAGGTCCAACAGATATTCCTAGGCAGTCGGAGAACATCCACTCGCAAAACTTACCTGTACAAGTGATGCCGATTCTCCACCTGGTCTCACCGCCACAATCTCAACCCATCTTCTGCTCTATTACCCACGGTCCTGCAATACACAACCAAACTAAAAAACTCAGGACTTTCGCTCAGTTCCCTGAAGGTTCACCTCTTCGCCATAACTGCTTTATACCAGCCAATAGACAGCAAGTTGGTATTTACACATCCCATGACCAAAAAGTTCCTCAAAGGATTGCAGAACATTTATCTACCAATCAAACCTCCGGCTCCCACCTGGGACCTCAGTTTGGTTCTGATGGCCTTAACTCGTAAGCCATTTGAGCCATGGTGATCTGCTCTATGCTTCACCTTTCCATGAAAGTGGCTCTATTAGTGGCAATAACATCTGCCAGTAGAGTTAATGAAATTGCGGCTCTCATGGCAGACCCACCTTTCACCACCTTCCATAAAGACAAGGTAATCCTCCAACCTCACCCTAAGTTCCTGCCAAAGGTTCCTTCTCCTTTCCACTGTAATGATCTTATTAACTTACCAGTCTTTTTTCCCAAACTTCATGCCAACCAGACAGAGGCCACACTACACAGTCTTGATTTACAGAGGGATTTTTCCATTCTACTTGGAAAGAGCCAAGCAAATTTGGAAAACCAACAGGTTATTCATATCAACTACCAAATGATTCCATAGACTCCCCATCTCCTCCCAGAGGATCTCAAAATGGATAGTTGAACTCATAAGAATAGCATATTCAACCTTTGGTAAAGAACCACCTGCAAAACTTCGTGCACATTTGACCAGGGCCATGGCAGCATCAACAGCCTATGTACAAGGCATCTCCCTGTCCAATATATGTAAATCGGCCATCTAGTGGTCTATTCATACATTCGCTGCTCACTATGTTCTGAACTCCTACATGTCCAGAGAAACTGCGTACGGACATACAGTCTTTACCACAGTCCAAAAGGACACTACACTGTCCAAAGCTCCCACCTCCAGTGGACAGACTGCTTGTAGTCATCTAATAATCGTGGCTTCATTTAAATTTAAATGGCTGCCCCGCTCTGCCGATCAGCTGTTTGTCGGCAGATCGGGGCAGCCATTTAAATTTAAATGAAGCCGCGATTATTTTAATCGCGGCTTCATTTAAATTTAAATGGCTGCCCCGCTCTGCCGATCAGCTGTTTGTCGGCAGATCGGGGCAGCCATTTAAATTTAAATGAAGCCGCGATTATTTTAATCGCGGCTTCATTTAAATTTAAATGGCTGCCCCGCTCTGCCGATCAGCTGTTTGTCGGCAGATCGGGGCAGCCATTTAAATTTAAATGAAGCCGCGATTATTTTAATCGCGGCTTCATTTAAATTTAAATGGCTGCCCCGCTCTGCCGATCAGCTGTTTGTCGGCAGATCGGGGCAGCCATTTAAATTTAAATGAAGCCGCGATTATTTTAATCGCGGCTTCATTTCCCTCTGCCGATCTGGCTAATCTACATGGCTCCGTCGACAGAGGCATGTAGTTTAGATGTACCCCTAAGATGGAACACCCACAGGGACACTCCTCGAAGAAGAAGAGAGGGCTACTCACCCTCTTCAGTAACGGATGTTCTTTGAAATAGGTGTCCCTGTGGGTGCTCCACCACCCATCCTTCCTCCCCTCTGCTTTAGTATTATTTCCATACTTTTCTGGGGCACAGAAGGAACTGAGGAGATCATACCCTGCACATGCACATTAGTCAGCTAGCATGAGTAGTGCTTTTGCGCATGTGCAAGCTACCTGTCAAAGTCACTACTATTAAAATCTTCTGTCCAAACCACCTAAGGTGGAGCACCCATCTTGAAGAACATCAATTACTGCAGAGGATGAGTAATCCTCTCTTACCCCTGTATCTGACGTTCCTCCAGCAATGGTAGCATATGAAGAATTATAGCATCAAGCTTTTCAATGATATATTGTAAGGATTCAATGTCTTCAAATTCAAATACCTTTTGAGGATCATCTATCATTCGCCAGGCAAATACTGGAGCTACACGAGTACCTTCTCTCTGCTGACACCTTTTAACAGATGAAATAACAGATGAATTTACCAGAAAGCATGTGATCTGTAGAACAAGATGCATACTGGTTATTTTTTAGAATATTTCAAATATTAGTCTGCAAGCACAGGCAATCACAAATTAAAACTTTTATCGGGCAGATTAGTTACATTTTATGTACAAAAGCTTACAAATGGAGAAGCATTACACTGGGAATTCATGGACAGTTGCTTCAACCCACTATTACGTGCATGCAATGTATTGTATTGGTGCTCAACCTTAAAGGTGAGACTAATCTGTTGAGCAAATTTCAGTTAGAAATATAGAAAACTATTATAGTCACTTGTGAGATATTTTAACGATTAAGAATATGTGATATAAAAATATTTCCTGTTAGTACAATGCAAAATGTTGATAGTCACCATTTTTGTCATATGCTAAAAGTTTGATCATTTCTCAAAAAAATACTTGCCTATGCAAAACTAATAAACATCTTGTAATACATTGTCATTTGTTAGCTTTGACCCATAAACACCACATTAAGGGGTTGAAATTAACTTAAATAGTACAAAGTATAGTCATGGTCATGCTGCGGTGTTTCTGGAACTGTGAATTCTCACTTTCTCATTTTAGGTATTTTTACTTCACCTCGTCTTCTGCCACCTTTGGCAGTTCCACATTATATCTCATCTAAATGTATATAATATAAGGTTTCAAATTTTATATTATATAAATGTGTACATTAGAATAGGAACACCTCTATTCATCTATTTTAACTGGTAAAATATCTTAAAAATCTACAAAAGTATATGTCCTTCTGCTCATCCTTGAGACTTGAAAAGCATTCTCCCAAATAAGATTTGGAATAAAACAAATATTTAATTCTGTTAATCTTCTATAAGTAGTTAAAGCACAGGTTACTTTTGTTTTTGTTTTTTCTACATAGATTTCACGAATAATTCGGACTTCATGTGGAAATGCTTTACTTGTAGGAGTTGGTGGTTCTGGAAAGCAGAGTCTTTCAAGATTGGCATCTTTTATAGCTGGATACAAAATATTTCAGATAACTTTAACAAGGTAAGAAATGAAAAAAAAATGTTGTGTTGTTCTCTCTCCAAAACAGAAGGTGATGTTTTTCAGGAAACATATTTTAATCTTTATTTCAAATACTATCTTGAAAAATAATAAACAAAAAAATGTTTCATTCTGATTCACTTGTGCATCATTGGCTACTTACTAACACCCTGATTCAACAAACCATAGCAAACCATCAAAGCTCTTAAGCACAGGCTTAAGTGCTTTCTTGAATTGAACTTGAGTCTTTAAGTTGGTTTCATGGGGAGCTGGATCTTCCCCTTGCTGAAGTGTGCCAATATTATAATCATGATTGCTTCTGCAATGTATCCATTAAATATCATTTTAAAAATTGCAATGGTTCTGTATTGTATATTAAGTGAATTTGTAATTTTTCTGTTTCCTCATAGATCCTATAATGTTTCCAATCTTACAGATGATCTTAAACTTCTATATAGAGTAGCTGGTGCAGAAGGAAAAGGCATCACTTTCATTTTTACTGATAATGAAATAAAAGATGAAGCATTTCTGGAATACCTTAACAATCTGTTATCTTCAGGAGAGGTCAGATCCCCTAAAAGGCAGTAATGGCAATAAAATTTTCAAAATTTGCTTTCAGTATCTGATTGCCATTGATTTTTTGTAATATTCGGGCTAGAAAAGCTCGAAAGCCCAAATATCACAAATGTGGGACATTTGGGGCCAAAAGTGAATCTCAATATATATTTCTGGATTTAGGTGAGCACTCTTGCAAGAATACTATTTGAGGCTCATAAAAGTACATTATTTCCTCACGCAGACATGCTGCAATGTACAATTTCACTAGAAGAGGTTATGTAAGCATTAGGGAGAAAATAAGTGAGATGGGTATTTCAAAGGCCACTGTTATCATAGGGTGTCCTTGCTAGTTTAGGGCTTTATTTTTCTCTAACATCCCTTGTCTTTAATGGAGTTGAGTAGGATGTAAAACAAGGAAGAATTTGGCCCTTAATTCATCTAAACTGTATCTGTATGTAGATAGATAGATAGATAGATAGATAGATAGATAGATAGATAGATAGATAGATAGATTACAATTACAAAATATATTATAATTCGGTTAAATTACTGACATTTCTTTTCTTGTCAATTTTGGTTTTGTACAAAGATTTCCAATTTATTTCCTCGGGATGAGTTGGATGAAATTACCCAAAGCTTAATATCAGTGATGAAAAGAGAGCTGCCTCGATGTCCTCCTACATTTGATAATCTTTATGATTATTTTATATCACGGGGAAAAAAGAATTTGCATGTTGTTCTCTGCTTTTCTCCAGTGAGTTTTCTTTTTGTAACTATCTTTTTTATTTTTTTAGGTAAATTTCCATATAAATCATGATGTTATCATTCAAGGTTTATAATTTGAAGAGTCTCAGTATCTGATTGTCATTGCTTTTTGGAATAATTAATGGAGCTAGAAAGGCTCAAAATCCCAATATTTCAAATCAAGCAGTGAATGTGGTTTTTCAATGTTTTAGGTTTTACTTAGTCTTTGCTAGTTGCCAGAAAAATGAGTGGCCTCAAAGCAGGTGGTGTTGGATGTAAACCTTTTAGTTGAAATTGATGTAAAGATAACTGCAGTTTTAAAACAATAAGTAGCATTCATCTTTGATATGAAGTTTTATATTGAGGATACCAAGACAATGAAAAAGAATAGGATACAGATATGGGATAAAGCTATTTATAGTTTCTAAAGGTAAAAGAATTAGGAAAAATGCTTAGATCTTATGTTTTGGATAAAATGGTTTGGATAAAATTAGATATAGTATCATATTAACAATATAAAGTGTTGTTTTAAAACTGTTACTCTTCTTAGGTTGGTGAGAAGTTCCGTGCACGTTCTTTGAAATTTCCTGGTCTGATATCAGGCTGCACTATGGACTGGTTCAATCGTTGGCCTAAAGAAGCCCTTGTTGCTGTAGCCTCTTACTTCCTTTCAGAATTTAATATTGTCTGTTCTTCCGAAGTTAAAGCACAAGTAGTAGAAACAATGGGGCTCTTTCATGATATCGTTTCTGAGAACTGTGAGAATTATTTCCAAAGGTAATATTGTGTACACATTTAAAAATTGACCAGTCACAAAAATATTGCTACTGTTTATGCAATAATGGTAATGGCATTGCAATGTATAAAGCAAGAATAGTCTTTTCCATCTTGTTAATACAGAAATGAAGTTTGTACTTGATAAATTCAAAGCCATCCATAAGAATCACAGGTATGAGCCAACTCCATTAACCTTATTCTCATTGTATGAAAAGAATTAAAAAAGTATAACAAATTTTAATATAACTTGTGAGGCTAATGACAGAGGTGGCATTAACTGTCATTTTGAAGGGATGCTGCATTTCGACTGCATGCAATGCTTCTCTTTCCAGATGATATTCATTATCTGTTTTAAGAGTAATTCACTTAAAACTGAAAATCTGGATGGTAGTGTGTCTATTTAAATCTCAATTTATGGATTGAATTATAATTTTAACAAATTTCTGCCTTTCAGATATCGACGAAGAGCTCATGTTACACCCAAATCTTATCTCTCTTTCATAAACGGTTACAAAGATGTTTATTCTGAAAAGCTAGGAAACATTAATGAACAAGCTGAACGCATGCAAATAGGTAAGATGAATAGGGGATTGTCACGTTGTATACAGCCTATCACAGTCTATAACATAGCCCTTGGGTTCAGGGAAGCACAACTTAATGGCTACAGACAGTAAGAGTCAATAACCCAGACCTGGGAATTCGGGGCAACACTGTCAAATGCTTATAGTCTCAAGGATTTGGAGCAGTAGCCCCAGTAAGGAGCCCTAGGCCTACCCTACTCCACTGGGCCCCAGTCTCAGGCCCTGTTAGTGGCAGAATGATCCTCCATTCACTCAGTAGGGAATCCCACCGCCACACACTGAGCTCACTCGGGAGAGAGATACCACTCACACACCCTCCCGGGGTCACTTCCTACCAGTTCTGGTGTATGTGTGTTGTATGCAGTCTTTGGACCCTCAGGCTCTGCAGTGCCCATCTCCTTGTGTGGGTCCTCCAGCTCTGGAGGTTCAATACATTCTCCCAGACTTCTGGCTCCCATCATCTGGGCTTCCAGCTAGTCCACCTCTGGAGCCGCTCTAGCAGGCCCTTCCCTTCTAGCATCTAGCCCAGACTGAGCTGAGCTGCTCCCTCTTATACTACTCCAGCCATTGGAGCATGCTCCTCCATACAGCTTGGAGGTGGGACTTCCTGTCTAGAGGGCATTATGCCCTCCTGGGATAGTGTGGGGATATGCACTCTGTCACAGGGATAAAGGTAAATTCCAGACATGGTCCCAGATGACCTGTGTTTTATTGATGGTTTTCTCTCACAGAAATTATTTAGGGTAATTTCTTTTTTGTACCACAGTTAAATAGCCCAAATCTGAAATGTTTATACTAAACCTTATAACTCAAATGATGGTTACTTCAGAGTACTGTATGGAATAACATCAATTGGACAAAGCCAATTGACAAAAGTGGTACAAATGCTGCATTAAAACTAGTTTAATCATCTATTTCAGCATACAGTCTATTAAATATAAATATTTAATATTTTCAAATTAGATTTGTAGCACCTGATTGATTGGCTTGGGGATGGAAGAGGCAGCTTAAAACTAGTCCGTCTCCAAAGTTTCTGCATTAGCAGTGAGAATTCAGTGCAAACTGTTGCTTTGCCTCCTGTCCTAATTCCAGTGTTGAATGTGGCTGAAGAAGTGACTGAAACAGGCAGAAATGTGTGGGAAGTTATATGCTTTTCTGCCTGAAGCTAGTGCTTGTATTTCAAAAAAGAAAAAAATAAAAGCACTACATTCATTCAAGTGGAGATTAGACTAGATGACCCTGATGGTCCCTTCTAACCCTATGATTCTATGATTACTGTTGGCAG